GTCAGCCTCTGTTCAATGTTGGCGTCAGTTTAACCTAGATCCATTTTGACGTCGTGATTGATTCTCTATCACGATAAAGAGCTTCAATATGCGAACATTCTGCCCTTCGAAATGCTTACGAGGAAGTCAAGACAATCCATAGCATACTGCCACCTTCGAAATGCGTACACTATGGCACAGATCGCGTTTTCGGAGTTCATCTCTCTCCCACTCGACGGGCAGTTTTCTCTGCGCAGTCGGTTGTCGAGATTAACGCAAAGGTCAACGATCGCATCGCTAACTGCCGTTCATCGCACCGACTTCGCAAAAAAGCGCTGTTGCTGGATTGATAAGAGCATATTGAAGCGAGTGAATTGATTCGCACCCGCTAAGACCACAGTTCAATAATGATTACCAAGATGTGAACAAAACCCTGACCCAAATTCGGATTTAATGAATGACTATATCACTAAGCATACTTGACAGGTTTTCAACAGAATAAGAACAGTCAAATGACAAGTTAACCACACTCACTCGTGTTTTCCGCAAATGACACCATACACTAACTGCAATTCCACGAATGCTCTGAACTAAATGTCAAGGTTACATCACTTGACCTCATCAGGGTATAATGACCATTAGTTTGTATTATCGAAAGCTCTGCGGCTCAATGGGAAAGACAAAACATACGTTTCCACTGCCATTTTCACGTGAACTTGTAACTTGTGACAAAACGTATTTTTTTAATGTTTATTAGGGAACCCAGTTCATCGTATGCAGTGCTGCAATGAGATGAAGAATAAATATCTTATTATAACTCATCATCACTCAACGATCACAATTCAATATAAAGGAACATAGAAAAAACGCATATACAGGAAGGCAATGTTCAAATCACTCGTATATGGGTGATTCCTAGACCAAATAAATTAACTGTAACAACAGGTCGCCCATAATTCCACAAGCGACCCCAGAATGACAGCGGCGATTTCGTTTACAGCTCAGTGTGTACCTCTTCTTCTCCCTCTTCAACAGCCTTCTCCTCCTCGGATGGTCCAGCTCCTTCTTTGCCTCCGCTCTCGAGGAACTTGGTGAAGCCTTCTAGAGTTCTGTCGCCAGTGTAGTCAATGACTTTGTTGGAACCAGCTGGGAAGAACTTGATCGTTGGGAAGGACTGCACTTTGACATCTTCGACCTATAAAGAGCAACTTTTTCTTCCGAAAAGTAAACGTAACCGAATTGCGTTGACAGAATGCATTTGTTTGAGGAAAGATGCAAAGATGCAACCACAAAAGTCTCGAAAAAATGACAAATGTTGAGAAACTGCAAATTTCAAAATTACCTCGTTGGCAGTAGCATCCATCTTGGCAATGATGATGTTCTCGTGATCAGCATACTTCTCTCCGAGTTTGTCCCAGGTAGGAGCGAGCTGCTTGCAGTGGCCGCACCATGGAGCGTAGAACTCGACGAGCACATTCTTGGTGTTGTCTCGGGCAACTTGGTCGAAGTTCTTTCCAACCAAAACCTTGACTGGTGCCTTGTCCCAGTCTTCGGGGACCTCCTCGGACATGAGGTGAGGCTTGAGGGCTCCATCAAGATATGATTGTGTGAACTTAACGATGTTCTCAGTGTTGATTTCAGCGAAGTCAGGCTTGAATTTGGTCATGTCCTCTTCAAGGGAGATGAGTCGGACGGATGGGAGGTCATCCTTCTTCAAACCGAAGAACTCCATGATTCGAGCATTATCTTCGACGTCGGTGTTGATGTACACGAACAGAACTTTTCCTTTGAATTGCTTGGCAGCGTTCTTGAACTCGGACTCGAGCTTCTCGAATTCGCTGGATTCCTTTGACACAAAGAGCAGGTTGTGGCTCTTGATCTCTCCTCCGAAGATGACAGAAGCGGTCTCTTGGGTGAACTCAGAAACAAGTGGAAGACGGTTGGCTTGGATCCAGGGCTTGAGTGTTTCAGCAGTGAGCTTCTCATCGAATACTGCACGTCCATCATCGAACTTCTTGAGCAGAACAATACCCTCCTCTTTGAGCTCAAGTTGTTTCTTGGCAGCATCCTCAGAGGTGATACCGAATGGAATATCATCAATACCAGCAGCGACTTCGAGGAAGATCTTGGCCTTTTCTCCTTCAGGATTCTGAAACAAGAGAATTGAAGATCTGAGAAATAATTGGCGAAGGGATTAAATCTAATGAGGCTGTCACTAAGTTGACAAATAATTATCGGCAGGTCTCTAAGAAACTTTTCGACCACATTGATCTTAATACTCAGACCAGAATTTGTAGGAGCTACGTGAATTTTACTACTTAGCGCAAGAATGACCGTTCCATTCAGGAACATGACTGTAACCTTTTCTATAGGTGAAAAAGTGGAACGAAGAGGAGAGCGACGAAGGCCGAGGCTATTCTCAAGGCTACGCAAGATCTCTCACGCACTCATAACGACCATTAGATACTTTGTTCACGAAGAAGTAAGCAAATGGTACCAACCTTGTAGTATCCGACGACAACGACATCGGCCTCTTCTTGAAGAGACTTGACATCGTCGGCGGTCTTGAGGGTCTTGGCGACCGGTCCTGTCTTCTTCTTCAACCAGGCAATTATGGAGGCAGCATCACGCCCTCCAGTATACTCGCTAGGTTTTCCATTACGGAATAACTTCAGTGTGGGATATCCTCGGACTTCGAATTTGCTGGCAACGTCACCGTGAACGGTGGCGTCGAGTTTGGCCAGCTTAATCTCTGATCCTTCATCCTTCAACTGAGTGGCTGCCTTCGCATACTCGGGGGCAAGTGCCTATAATAAATCGATGATAATTCAAAAACATATACTCTAATAGCCATTACGGCCGGATCAGTAGTTAATACCACGAATAAAATCTAAACCCCTACCTTGCAGTGGCCGCACCATGGAGCATAGAACTCGGCAAGAACGAACTCGTGTCCGTTGATTACCTCATCGAAATTATCCTAAATAGTAACTACTCAGCCATTAATAGCAATATTACACAAAGGCAGAAAAAAATGAGCTTCATTGAGCCTATAGGTTGCGATAGTTACGGCGGAGGAGTTTTTGCGCCAGTGTATACAACTACTGGAGCAATCAATAAACTACAGCTTGGGATTTCACAAGACGGGATGGAAAAAAGCGCAGTGTAAGATTCGTGTGCTGTGTCGTACTACAATTATATATACTGATGACGAAATATCGAAAAAAAAACCATGCGTATACTTGTTAGGAGAACCTATAGGACTTGAAAGAGGCAGTCGCGACATCAAAAGATAACTCCAAAAAGTCAGGGCATCACAGCTACACAACAACGAAAAATGGAGAATGATAATTACCTTAGTGAGTACGAGTACGTTCTCTTCTTCTTCGACAGTGGCCGCGAATGCCGACAGAGCAAAGAGGCAAAGGCAAGCGAGTTTGAACATTGCGCCCCAATGAATGACAATCCCTTCTGAGCGGTGGAGGCAGCACGCCGTGGACCGGTCTTATTGGTTCTCCAACGCCCCGCCCTCGCCGGCCATTGGGCGGGCAGCTCGCAAGGCCGCGCCGCATGCCAACTCTCTGTTGGCCACACTTTCTCCAAGTCGACGTGGACATTCCAGACGTATATGACGAGCAGGAAGTACCCATTGGTCACGGAGGAGTAAGCTTATGTCGTTTGACAAAATGCAAACTTCATGAAGCCGCGTTCTACGAGTGGGATTCTTGCGCGAAGTCGCGAAGATAAAATAAACATTACATGTCTAGCACAGGTCACACACAGGGACACTGCATACGTTCACTTGCTCAGCTCCACGAGCGCTATTTTCTCATGCTGCATGCTCAGTTCGCGTCGTAAACATTGCACGAGGGCTTTGATAATTTCTTTATATCCACAGTGCCATTATTTGAGCCAGTGCTCGGCCGTGACCTTTGTGTCGCTATTGATGGGAAGGAGGAGTGCGAGGTTTTATGCATATCCTTGCCCTCAATCTTTTTGTGCGTTTTTTTT